GTTGCAAAATAGGTATTATTCTTAGTTTTACAAACGAGAAAATCCAGACACAACAACCGAGTGGCATCTCCCAACCCTCAGCCAATAAACATCAGGGACAGTATTTGAACACCAGGACTCGGACTCCAAGCCCTGTGCAGCTTACTGTTTGGTCAGAAACAGTGCTCATTCTGTATAAGACACTCAGTAAATTAGACTGGATTCAACCGAGGGAGAAATGTTGCCACTCCAAATGACTTTACCTTTGTCTTAGAGCAGTTTTTTAATCTCCCTTCCCCAGCTTTCTGAGGTATATTTTAACTATCATAGAGCTTACTCAATTCAAGTGGACAGTTCAGTGATTTCTAGTAACTTGACCAAGTGGTGCCACCATCAACATAAACCAGTTTTAGAACATTTCCATCCCCCACAGGAAACCTCATTGCCCACTCTCAGTTAATTTTCATTCTCTTCTTGCCCTAGGCAACCACTAATCTATTTCCTATCTCCAGTAATTTGCCTCTTCTGAACATTTCATATAAATGAAACCATATAATAAATGGTCTCTTTTGACTAGTTCCTTTCACTTAGCACAGTGTTTTTGAAGTTCATTCATGATATATGATAGCAGGTATCAGTAGCTTGCTCTTTATTATTGCTGAATGATATTTTATTTTATGGATACACAATTTTGTCTACTCATTCATGAGTTGATTGACATTTAAGTTGTTTCCAGTTTTCGACTGGATGAATAATGTTGCTATATGAACATTTGTGTGCAAGTTTTTGCAAGAACACGTCTTTATTTCTCCTGGGTAGATGGGGGTAATATTAATATTAATATCTCATTACAGTTTTGATTTGTATTTCCCTAATGACTAATGATATTGAGCATCTTTTCATGTGATTATTAGCTATTTGCTTATGTTCTCTGAAGAAATGTCTGTTCCAAATCTTTTCCCCATGTTTTGACTGGATTGTCATGTTTATGTTCTCTGAAGAAATGTCTATTCCAAATCTTTTCCCCATGTTTTGATTGGATTGTCATCTTGTTACTGAGTTGTAAGAGTTCTTCATAAATTCTGGATACAAATCCTTTATTAAATATGTGTTTTGCAAGTATCTTTTTCTAGTCTATCACTTGTCTTTTCATTTCCTTAATATTGTCTTTTGAAGTGTAAAAGCTTTGAATTTTGAGGAGGTCCATTTTATCAATTTGCCAAGAAATAAATCCTTTTATTTATAATCAACTGATTGTTGATAAGTGAAATTCACTGACAAAAAGACAATCTGTTTAACTGGTGATGCTGGAGCAATTGGATATCCACGTGTGAACAGGTGAACTTAGATGTTCAACTCACATGACACAGAAAAATTAACTCAAAATGACTAATGCAAGAGATAAAACAATAAAACTTTTAGGAAAAAAAATATGGAAAATTTTGTGTTAGGCAAAGATTTTTTTTCATCTATTCTTTTCTCCCCCCTCTTTATTTCTGGCTGCACCACATAGCTTCCAGGATCTTATTCTTGAATTCCTGTCCTTATTAAACACAAAGCACATATGTGTGTGTGTGTGTGTATGTGCAATAAGTGTGTACAATATAGGCAGTAATTATGTAGCCACCTTCAGTCAAAACCATAAAATATTTTACCAGGATTGTTGGCTAAAATTTGAATTATCAATGACACAAATATGTTGAAAGAAAATAAGTTGCTATATGAACATTTGTGTGCAAGTTTTTGCAAGAACACGTCTTTATTTCTCCTGGGTAGATGGGGGTAATATTAATATTAATATCTCATTACAGTTTTGATTTGTATTTCCCTAATGACTAATGATATTGAGCATCTTTTCATGTGATTATTAGCTATTTGCTTATGTTCTCTGAAGAAATGTCTGTTCCAAATCTTTTCCCCATGTTTTGACTGGATTGTCATGTTTATGTTCTCTGAAGAAATGTCTATTCCAAATCTTTTCCCCATGTTTTGATTGGATTGTCATCTTGTTACTGAGTTGTAAGAGTTCTTCATAAATTCTGGATACAAATCCTTTATTAAATATGTGTTTTGCAAGTATCTTTTTCTAGTCTATCACTTGTCTTTTCATTTCCTTAATATTGTCTTTTGAAGTGTAAAAGCTTTGAATTTTGAGGAGGTCCATTTTATCAATTTGCCAAGAAATAAATCCTTTTATTTATAATCAACTGATTGTTGATAAGTGAAATTCACTGACAAAAAGACAATCTGTTTAACTGGTGATGCTGGAGCAATTGGATATCCACGTGTGAACAGGTGAACTTAGATGTTCAACTCACATGACACAGAAAAATTAACTCAAAATGACTAATGCAAGAGATAAAACAATAAAACTTTTAGGAAAAAAAATATGGAAAATTTTGTGTTAGGCAAAGATTTTTTTTCATCTATTCTTTTCTCCCCCCTCTTTATTTCTGGCTGCACCACATAGCTTCCAGGATCTTATTCTTGAATTCCTGTCCTTATTAAACACAAAGCACATATGTGTGTGTGTGTGTGTATGTGCAATAAGTGTGTACAATATAGGCAGTAATTATGTAGCCACCTTCAGTCAAAACCATAAAATATTTTACCAGGATTGTTGGCTAAAATTTGAATTATCAATGACACAAATATGTTGAAAGAAAATACGCAAAAGATAAAGCAGCAAGTCAGCCAGAACAGAATGTCCAGGGCTTGGCAGCTGGAATGAAAGACAAAGCTGTGTAAATAGTAAATTAATCCCATCTTCAAATACTTTCCTTATTTGTGTGCTTTAGCAAATACTTTGCTAAACTGTGTGCTTACATTTCAGGCTAAGAAATGCTGATTACAGGCAGTCATTGATTGCAGATTAAGAAGGCAATCTCCTATAGGAAGGTAAATCTCTATCAGCTAAGGAGATGCTGCATACTCTTAATGTTTGAAATGATAATATAGTCTGGTATAAAATTCTTACAGTCTATTACTTTCAAAATACATCAAAAAAATTATTGTTGAAGATTCCATAAATATTATTTGTCAAGAAGAAAATTTTAGACACAAAGTTTTACTCTTAAAGGCACCATTTTCTATTAAATTCTCTGGATTGCACCTAAAATTAATAGCTAATTTCATGGTCAGATTACCATTCTCCCCTCAACAGGGATACACAAGAATACTGACAGAGCACTTGGTCACTTGTGTTCACTGTAAGTCAGTTGTGACAACGGAAGGAGACTTTGCTAAATAAAGCCTGAATCTTGAATTCCTCTATTTGGAGCAATTTTCATTTTCAAAATACATTTCTGCATAATTAAAATGCTAATTAACATTTCACTATTTATTATTAACATTTCAGTATCTTCATTATTTTCAGGTATGACTAGTTATTTATATATATTCACCTCTCCCTTATGAAAGGTAACATATTTTATTGCTTTTATCCCTTATTTGAGTGATTTTTTTTTTTTGAGTGATTTTTAAATCATTGGGAGTCAACGATCAAGTACTGGAACCCTGCCTTATAGCATCTGACAAGGGTCTGGGAATATAATAAACACACGGTAAGTTTCTGTTGGAATGAAGTAAGTATTCACCACTAATGCTGTAGTTTTAAAATTGCATTTCATTAGACCCAAGTTCTAATTGCAGAAAATATACTGCAGAATCAAATTACTAAAATTGCAGGAGGAGACATCATTGTAATGAAAGCTAATATTTTAGTGCCAAGAGCCAAATGCCAACTTTTTTCTTATTTGAATACCTAGTGACATGATGTTCTCTCATTTATTCTAAATGAGAATTTAAAATATTCTCTTCTCTCTTAAATGATAGCCTTTATACAAATCTCCTGGACAGTTTAAAGGCTAGACTTAAAATCCAGGATGAAATGATTTTTGCTGAGTCCAGACACATAGCAAGAAATGTCCCCAAATAAAGTCATCTTCATTTTCATTGCAGTTGTTACTAATATATCCTAATAATCACTTCCATCTTGAAAATAAGTGGAAACCGTTTACCAGCTCATCAAAATTTCACATACATTTGAAAAAGAAATGCCAAGTAGCGCAGTGAAGACACCCTTTTTTCCAAGTTATTGTGGTTGAGTGAACCCTGGCAGAACACATATGCTATGAGGTCTGTGGGTAAAATAACACTTTCCAAAATACAAGTGAACTGAAAAAAAAAATTCACTCATACTTTTGAAATACTTTTTTTCTTGCCTAAGATACAACCTAGGCTGGTTCTGAAAAATTTTCTCAAATACTATCTGCAGAGATCTCTTCAGTTACAGCCCTCCAGCCCTTCGGCCACCTAGAAACATTAAGTCCCCCTGGAGTTTTATCCTGACCTGAGTGCAGGCCTCCACACTAGAGGAATTCTCAGAAGTTTTAGACTAGTGGCTTATCTGATCAATTATCAGATCAGCCATTCTGTTGACCCTGCTCTGATAATGTAACATGGCTTCAGGTACTAAGATTTTATCTGGTTATTTGTAACCAAGTTGCAATCTTGCACTACCTGAAACTAGATCCTAGATTCTTCCATTGTGATCTTCAGTCCTGCTTTGGGATTTTAGTTTGTATCCAGGTTGGTTTGTAATACTCAATATAATGTTGAGCAAGCCTAGTTAGAACCCTACCCTAGCACCCCAGTCTTCATGAGAATGTCCTCAATAAATGCCACCTTATAGCTATGACGCAAACTTCTCTCGTGGCTGTATTTCTACTCACTGCCTCCTGTCAGACTCCCCTAGACACAGGTCCTAAGCTTGAGCTAAATTCTCTACCAACTGTCAGTTCCTGTCTCCATGCCTTGCCTGGCACTGGCAGTGCTGTTTGAGATGTGGGGTCCTGGTCACCCACAGACTGACCCATCTCAATGCTGAGTTCTAATAATAACTCAAGTAATACCTCTATTAAAAAAAAAAAATCTCTGTTCAAATCAGCCAAAAGTAAGTTTAAAATGCCTCAATAAATATACATCTGATGCTTGAAATTGCAAAAGAAAATAACCTGTACCTGTCTGAATGAATCCTGATTTGTATCCATTTGTTGTGCCGTTTTCTGGGGTCACAGTTGATGACACTGAAGAGTTTGGTTTAATGGAGTGGCAAGTGGTAGAGGATTGTCGGCTTCTACATTCTAGAAAGGAGTAAGAATCATAGAGAACAATGTTCTGTTAAAACAAGTGATGGAGCCACAATCCACAAAATCTCTAAAATAAACTCCTACTCCTCAAGGGGAAGCCACTTTCTTTAAGAGACCCCTCTTCCCCAATCCTGACTCCAACAGAACGTCCAAGCTGGTGAACATAATTTGTCTTCCTAGGGCCACGTTTGGAAAACAAAAAGATGATTTTGTTCCTTAGAACAGTTTGACTTTTGTTATGCACAGACTAGTTCCCAGGAGAAAAATTACTCATAACCAATATAGTCGTGCTAGTTTTATGGGTAAGACTGAGGTTAAAATAGCAATAATTTATAAAAACTCAGTAAGCTTTCAAGCACCAGTTAATCTCCTGTCCAGGACTGATTTCAGTGCAGAATAGTAACCTAGATTTGGTAGGCTCCCTTCAACCTTAATTTATGTTCAGAAACAGAAGCAAAGAAAAATTTATAAGCAGAGGAGAAAAATCAGAAATTCTCAAATTCTTACTATTCTCAGTTCTTATTAAAAGAAATTGGCAGATATTATTCAAAGTAATTACTGATCATGCAACTAAGCTTCATTTTAAATGAGCCAATATTAATTGGGCTTTGGTGTAGTATTTTAATAATACTTTGTAACTGATTCAGGTAGATAGCAAATATTGTGACAACCTGTGTGGCTGTAACTTCCAACCAATTTATACTATATGCTGTACCATATTAGTATTTAAAGATAGCAGGTGAAAAAGAAATATAAATAGTTGTAAATGACAAAGTTAATTATAGTGAGTCCTTTAGAGAGCTTCCAAGTTTATTGAAGACATGCAAAAGGTAGATGCAGTTTTCTTCAATCTTCTACGCTATGACCTTCCTCGAAGAGCTACTATATTTTGGCCAAAAAGGATATCTCCATGTTAGGTATATTGTATGCAAATATGTATTTGACATTATATACATAAATACAATTCCAAAATAGCAATGGCTATAAATGTGAGGTTCCAGAAGTCACCCAGGATCATTGTGTCACAAACTATTTCAAAAACGTTCCTTACTAGAAAGATGAATTGTCACTGAACACTAAATAAGAACTTAAAGATACTTTATGCAACCCTAAAATAGTCATCACTCGGTGTCAACACATATTAGTATTTAAAGATAGCAGGTGAAAAAGAAATATAAATAGTTGTAAATGACAAAGTTAATTATAGTGAGTCCTTTAGAGAGCTTCCAAGTTTATTGGAGACATGCAAAAGGTAGATGCAGTTTTCTTCAATCTTCCACGCTATGACCTTCCTCCAAGAGCTACTATATTTTGGCCAAAAAGGATATCTCCATGTTAGGTATACTGTATGCAAATATGTATTTGACATTATATACATAAATACAATTCCAAAATAGCAATGGCTATAAATGTGAGATTCCAGAAGTCACCCAGGATCATTGTGTCACAAACTATTTCAAAAACGTTCCTTACTAGAAAGATGAATTGTCACTGAACACTAAATAAGAACTTAAAGATACTTTATGCAACCCTAAAACAGTCATCACTCGGTGTCAACACAAAGTGTCATCACTTTCCCAACAAAGGTCCGTATGGTCAAAGTTATGGTTTTTCCAGTAGTCATGTATGGATGCGAGAGTTGGACTATAAAGAAAGCTGAGCGCCAAAGAACTGATGCTGTTGAACTGTGGTGCTGGAGAAGACTCTTGAGAGTCCCTTGGACAGTAAGGAGATCAAGCTCATCAATTCTAAAAGAAATCAGCTCTGAATATTCATTGCAAGGACTGATGCTGAAGCTGAAGCTCCAATACTTTGGCCACCTGATGCAAAGAGTTGACTCACTGGAAAAAACCCCAATGCTGGGAAAGATCGAAGGCAAAAGGAAAAGGGGGTGCCAGAAGATGAGATGGTTATATAGCATCACCGACTCAATAGACATGAATTTGAGCAAACTCTGGGAGATAGTGGAGGACAGGAAAGTCTGCCGTGCTGCAAAGAGTCGGGTTGCAAACATCTTAGGGAACTAAGATCTCACAGGCTACGTGACTCGGGCGAAAAAAAAAAAAACAAACCAAAAATGAAGCAAGTCAAACAACCTGCCAGGGGCTTTATATTTTGGCATAGTCTTCTGAACTTGGGGTATTTATCTTCCACACCTGGATTCTGAACCCTATATGGGTCACAGGTCACTTGTCAATGTCCTAACACTCACATCCCATTCCCACCCCCAGAAACGGATGCTACCTTTCCAGCAGATAAGAGGCCCCTTCGACAGTACACCCTGGGAGCTTCTGACTAGGTAGTATTTTAAGTGCTTCTGCTTCTTTGGCTGGGTGGTGAGCTTCAAGTTTATGTGGTTGGAAAATTCCGTGAAATACCGAAATCCTCTTTCTCCACAGCCGATACAGTTTCCAGAAAACCCTGAAATGAAGAAAAACAGTTACTGGTGGCTTTGCATGTGGTTATAATATTTAAATTTTATATACCAAAAGGACAGAAATACCCTTTGGCCTGTTAACATCCTAATTTCAAGGAAATAATTCAAAGAAAAAAAAATAGGTGCAAAAAATTTAGCAATTATAACAGTGAAAGACTCCTGAGGAGCTGGAGAAGACTCTTGAGAGTCCCTTGGACTGCAAGATCCAACCAATCCATCCTAAAGAAGATCAGTCCTGAATGTTCATTGGTAGGACTGATGTTGAAGCTGAAACTCCAATACTTTGGCCACCTGATGTGAAAAGCTGACTCATTGGAAAAGACCCTGATGCTGGGAAAGATTGAGGGCAGGAGGAAAAGGGGATGACAGAGGATGAGATGGTTGGGTGGCATCACCAACTCAATGGACGTGGGTCTGGGTGGACTCCGGGAGTTGGTGATGGACAGGGAGGCGTGGCGTGCTGCGGTTCATGGGGTCGCAAAGAGTCAGACACGACTAAGTGACTGAACTGACTGAACAGTGAAAGACGAAATAATTTTAAAATGCTCTAAAGGGATAATGATTAAGGGAATAAAACGGATAATATCATATGATAGAATTTATATAGCTGACACAAAAATATGAAGAATATTGGACCTAGAAATACCTATTATTTCCTCCTTACAAATTCCCTTCTTTTTTAAAAATTTTATTTGTTTTTGGCTGCGCTGGGTCTTTTGCTGGGTCAGTTGTGGCGAGCAGGGGGCTTCTCTCTAGTTGTGATGTGCACGCTCCTCATTGCAGTGGTTTCTCTTGTTGTGGAGCACGGGCTCTGGGCGCACAGGCTTCAGGAGTCGCGGGTCCTGGGCTCTAGAGCACAGGCTTAGTCGCTCCCCAGCATGTGGGATCTTCCAGCTCAGGGATGGAACCCATGTCTTCTGCATTAGCAGGTGGATTCTTTACCACTGAGCCACCAGGGAAGCCCCATATTTCCTTCTTAACCTACTGGCCCTGGCTCTCCATCCTACCCACCATGTGGACTTGACTCCACGGCCACAGCCGACTAGACTGTGGACCATTATCTGACTGCATCTTGGCCAGTCAGTCTCTCTCCTAGAGCTTTGAAATAAATACAAAAAGAATTAGTCAGATAATACCGGACCCTGGATATATGAAGTTTTGTAAAATCTGAACCCAAGTCAGGGCTATGCCAGCTAGGGTGTGGGAGAGAGCAAACTGGAATCGTGAAGAGGAAGCTGATCTCCAAATAGGAGAGCATGAACAGAGATGTATAAACTCAGGGCATCGTTTATGTCCTAGTTTCTATGAGATCCAGTTGTACTTTTTGGCACAAGTTTTCGGAGATTCACATTTCCTCTCTATTCAACCTTTCTTTATTCAAACTAGCTCATTATCCCTTTAGACTTAACATCCAAACAATTCTCACTCAGGTTAATCAAACAGAATAAGACTTTCAGTGTTGTTCCTGGAACAGAGGACATGGAAAGAAGAAGAAATGGAGAAGGCTGGGAGGATGAGAAACCATGCTTTGCTTGATTGGAAATCAATGTTTCAACCTCCCTCACTACACAGAAGAAAAGTGGACAGTTACAGAGTGAATTCTTCTGCTTGTGAGTTGTGAGCACATCACATAGGTTTGGTCATATTGTCAAACAAGGGCGTTCCAAACTGGGTAAACAAAATGTTTCTCTATATAAATAAATAACTGAAAATAAATTAACTGATGGAATAATACACTCTTTAAATCCCCAAATGAACCTGTTTTATAATTAACAAAGGTATATAAGAAGAGAAGAGAAGGACCACAGAATTCAAGACAGACTATTTTATTATGTCCCAATCTCAGAATGCTGACAATCAATTCAGAACATTTAGAAATGGGCAGTCCAACTTATTATTATTTATTCAACAATTATTTGAGCACCTACCTATATGCCAGGCATTGTGCTAAACACTGGAAAACCAGTGGTGAATAATAGACAATCACAACTTCTGATCAGTTACATGAAATTAGTAATTCTATATAATTAGTTTATTATCACCACTTATAGAAATAAAAATATTAATATAATTTCACAAATTATTTAAAACATATTCAGAGATGGATTGCATTAGAGAGCATTTAGCTATTTGTCTAATACCTTGGAGCTGTAGACCAAAAAAATAAAGATGTCAATGATTGCCGCATTCACCAAATTCCTAAAGTCAACCATCCATCTAACCATTCATTCATCCACGTATCCATGCATCCATCCACTAATCCATGCATCTATCTACCTGGCCATCCATCCTTCCAACAAATATCTGTACTCTACTGTGTGCTGGCACTATTTTGGGTACAGGTTTTCAGCACTGAACAAGGAAGACCAAACCACGGCCTCCATGGACCTTACTTTCTGATATGATCATTATGCCTTGATGGAAAATTGACTGACCTATGAGCAGACGCAACAAACTTAAAACACAATAAATATAAGAATCTTCAGCTGAAATAAAAACAGTGTCAAATATGAGGCTTATCTCAAAGGTCCAAGCCAAGTGGTTCATAAAAGACTAATGGGAGAATTAGAATTAAAAAATTATTGGGGCTAGAGTTTACTTCTTTTCTTCTACCTGTTTCCTGAGGTGAAAAGCAAAAGAGAGTAAGGAGGAAGAAAATCAATGGATCTGGATAATCTTCAAAGAAGAGAAACTTCATACTAATGATGAGAATTAGCAATATAAAAGAGTAAGACTGCTACAGTCCATTTTTAAAACTCTGTATGGTTTCTGTATTAACTTGATTCAAGAGAGAATCAAAGTTCATGCTCACTATCACAAAAAAATAATATCTCTTACACCTAAATTACCTTTCTAGTTTTTCTAGCAATCAAATCTTTCAATTGCATGGGAGATGTGGGGCATATGCACCGCCAAGTGGATCAATTTATTTTAAAATCAATTCCCCCATAGTCTTTGGAATCTGCATAATCTATATAAAAATTTAGACAAATTGCTACTGGAGTCCACAAAGACTCTAGAATATTTTAAGTTTTTAAAAAATTTCCCACTAAGTCTTTTAAAAAATTTATTTATCTTTATAATTTTTTTTTGGCTGTGCCACATGGCTTGTGGGTACTAATTCCCTGACCAGGGATTGAACCTGGGCCCTCAGCAGTGAGCATGTAGAGCCCTAACGACTGGACTGCCAGGGAATTCCCAGGACTTTGTTGTTGTGTACCTGAAACAAATACCATATTGTAAATCAACTCTACTTCAAATTAAAAAGAGAGATTATAATGTACTAATAAATTTGTGATTAAAATAAGTTCAAGTTCTCCACTAATTAAAAATAAAAATTAGAAATTTTGATGGGAAATGGAAAATGTCATTTTTTCCAAAATCATATTAGCAAAGATTAAAAATAATGGAAATAACTGCTTTGTTCAAAATTTAGGACAAGATTATATGGTTTATGAGTGTATAAATTAGTATAATTTTTTGAGCAATGTTTAACAAATATGTAAAAAGATTTTGAATATGTGGATACCACTGACCCGACATGATAAGGATATATATAGATAAGGATATATATAGATATATATAGATAAAAGATATACATATATATCTTTTATATATATAGATATATATAAAAGATGATTTTAGAGAGAAGAAAATTGTAACAATGCTCATCAATATGTTGGTAATTATGGTATACTTCAAAACATAGAACATGGTGGTTTGGTTGCTAAGTTTGCGTCAGACGCTTGTGACCCCAAGGACTGCAGTCCACCAGGCTCTTCTGTCCATGGCATTTCCCAAGCAAGAACACTGGAGTCGGTTGCCATTTCCTTCTCCAGGGGATCTTTCTGACCCAGGGAGCGAACCCAGGTCTTTTGCATTGGCAGGCAGGTTTTTACCACTAGCACCACCTAGTACGTTCTCTCTATTCTTCAAGCAAGTTTCACTANTGTTAGAATGGCTATCATCAGAAAGTCTACAAATAACCAATGCTGGAAAGCATGTGAAAAGAAGCAAACCTTTGTACTCTTTTGGTGGAAATGTAAATTGGAGCAGTCATTATGGACAAGAATAATAGGGGTTCCTTAAAAAACTAAAACTAGAACTGCTATATAATCCAGTAACTCCAGTGCTGGGTATAAAGCCAAAGAAAATGAAAACACTAAACTGAAAAGATACATGCACCTCAAGTTCATAGCAATGTTGTTTACAACAGTTGAGATATGGAAGCAACATAAGTGTCCATCAACAGACAAATGGATAAAGAATATGTGGTATGTATATATATGTATATATAATACATCATATATATATCCTGTGGATATAAATATATATGTGATATATATATAATATACAAAAGAGTTCCATTCCAAGAGTGTGTTCATAAGTCCAACTTATTCATAAGCCCAACAGGGTTAGCCTAGGTACCCAACTAACACAGTTGGCTATATGGTACTATACCATAATAGGTTTATAATATAATACTTTTCACACAAATAATACATGAAAGACAAACAGAAAAAATAAAGAAAACATTTTTAATCCTATAGTACAATATCTTTTAAAAGTACAATAGTACTGTATTGATACTGTACTATTGCACTGTATTATGTATAATACTGTATGTATTGCTGGCATACAGGGCCTGGCATCCAGTGAACAGGCAAGAAGAGTTACTGACTAGAGGAGGGAGAAGAGGTGGGAGATGGTGGAGCTGGAGGACTGTCAGCAATAGGAGACGGAGGGCAAGCGGCAATTCACTCACACCTTACATGACTGGACACGCAGATATACATTCACGTCTTTGAAAGTCTGCAACTTGAAGGTTCATGTGTAGTGGCCTTAATATATAGATATACATACACACATGTATACACACAGACACATGCACACACAATGGAAGATTACTCAGTCATATAAAGAATGAAATTCTGCCATCTGTAACAACATCGATGACCTCAGAGGGTATTATGCTTAGTGAAATGGGTCAGATAGAAAGAAAAAAACTGTATGATATCACTTACTATGAATCCAAAAATAATACAAATGAATGATACAGCAAAACAAACAGACTCACAGGTATAGAAACCTAGTGCTTATCAGTGGGTAAAGGGAAGGAGGGGGCACGATAGGTGTAAGGGATTAACAGATACAAACTGCTAATATAAAATAGGTAACCAACATGGATATATATTTCAGCACAAGGAATTATACCCATTATCCTGTAATAATTTTCAATGGAGTACAGTCTGTAAAAATACTGAATCACTTGAATCAATGATAATTCATGCCATTCATTTAAAACTAATATAATATTGAAAATGAACTATAATTCAACTTTAAAAATAATAATTAAAAAGTAAATCCACTCTTTTGCCATTTTCCATGATGTAGGGAAGCTATGTTGTGAAAAATGGGCCAGATTTAAAGTAACACTAGAAAGTAAAAAAATTCTGATAAAAGTTACATATTTTACATCATAGATATATTCCTATATATCTTGATTGAACTAATGCTAAATATAAAATGAGAACCACATCAATAAAGTATAATTAGAAATAATGGATGGTATAGAATAGCTATCAATAACTTACAAAGTGGATAATCCACAGTTGAATAATTGAGAGCTGATTTTATATCAGGTCCAGGCCAATGACTCTATAGAGAGTGAATCCTATTTTATTTCACAAAATAATTATTTTTGATAAATTGCATGGCATTATTTAATGCCTGGTTTTAAAAATCTCTTCATTAAGATGAATATTTTGAGAGTTAGTAAAAACGTGAAAGCTAACTTGTGAGAAGTTACTAGATGATAGCCTATTAAAATGCAGAGATGTTACTTTGCCTACAAAGGTCCACACAGTCAAAGCTGTGGTTTTTCCAGTAGTCATGTACGGATGTGAAAGTTGGACCATAAAGAGGGCTGATCACTGAAGAATTGATGCTTTTGAACTGTGGTGCTGGAGAAGACTCTTGAGAGTCCCTTGGACTGCAAGCAGATCCAACCAGTTAATCTGAATGGAAATCAACCCTGAATATTCATTGGAAGGACTGATGCTCAAGCTGAAGCTCCAATACTTTGGCCATCTGATGCGAAGAGCCAACTCATTAGAAAAGACCTTGATGCTGGGAAAGATTGAAGGCAGGAGGAGAAGAGGATGAGATGTTTGGATGACAGAGAATGAGATGGTTGGATGGCATCACTAACTCAATGGACAAGAGTTTGAGCAAACTCCAGGAGGTGGTGAAGGACAGGGAAGCTTAGCATGCTTGAGGCCATGAGGCTGCAGAGTTGGACACGACTGAGCGACTGAACAACAACTAATGAAAAAATGTTTCTTACTTAAACTAAACTATATAACCCCCAGCTAATTCTGTGATTTTTAAAAACTCTGTGATAAAATAAACTCATATTTTAATTCCTTTATCTCAGAAGGAACTTTGCAGGTATGAAATACTCACCTAAAAGTGCATTTTTCCCATGATCATCTGGTAGGAATCGCTTGTCTACAGCGCACACTAGGATGTGTTCAGGAAGGTTGGGAGACTTGGCCCCCACCAGGAGGAATCCTGCTGGGATGTCAATCTGTTCCATACACAGAGATACCAAACGCAAATCCTTTCCTGCTTGACAAAAACCTAGAAACCAGTAAAAAAAAAAAGAAGAAGAAGAAAAAGGACACAGTGGAATGTTTAGAGAGGTTATAACTCCGCATCACCCATCTGGAGACTAGATTTGCCTGTGGGAATCACTACTAAGGACTAAATTTAAAGTTCATAGACTATCTCTCTAACACACATCTACCACATGTGCTCCTCTGAGCAGAGCTAAAAAGATGCTCATGCTCAGTTGCTTCCGTGTCCAAATCTTTTCAACCCCATGGTCTGCAGCCCGCCAGGTTCCTCTGTCCATGGGATTTCCCAGGAAAGATTACTAGAGTGGGTTGCCATTCCCTGCTCCAGGGGATCTTCCCGATCCAGGGATCGAACCCGTGTCTCTGGCATTGCAGGCAGATTCTTTACCCACTGAGCCATTCGGGAAGCCCAGAAAGGTACTAAAAGGAGACATTTCCAACTGTTTTAGCAAACACTGATGACTTCATATTTTCTGATCCACAGGAAATGATAAATACACAGGAAACTGACAAACATACATAATTTTATGTGCATATAATACAGTATTCTTAGTTTCAATGCAAATTCACTTCTCTAAATCAGATTGATCATAGAACACAGATGTTTTCTGTTTCACAGAGGAAGAGACTGAAGCTCAGGGTTTAGTGAATCATAAATGAATGGGTTAGAACCAGAACTCAGAACTGTTTAGATTATTTTCACTAGATGAGACATCATAAGAAATGACAAAACCTTACATAACAACTTTGTAACCATAAATGATTATCTTAATTCATTAGTTCATCATTTATTAAAAATGATCTGCGGATTTCCCTGGTGGTCCAGTGGTTAGGAATCTGCCTGCCAATGCAGGGGACGTGGTTACAATCCCTGGTCTGGGAAGATTCCACATGCCACAGAGCAACTAGGCCTGTGTGCCACAACTACTTAGCCCATGAGCTACAACTACTGAAGTGCATGCAACTAGAGTCTGTTCTCCACAAAGAGAGACACTACTACGATGAGAAGCCTGCCCAATATAGGGAAGAGCAGCCTGCTCTCACCACACCTAGAGAAAGCCTGCACACAGCAACATAGACCCAGCACAGACAAAAATAAAGAAATAAAACTAAAATAAAATGATTTGCAACAAGTGCTGTCCTTGGCCTGGGGATAGAGCTGAACAGAATGTGTCATCCTCTAAGAACTCACTTGTAGTCAACTGCAAGGATGTATAAGGAACTGGCAATTACAAAACAATGTAACAGAGGACAGCTATTCCTTGCTACAAAGCTCCCATCTCTACCTCTTCTGGGAAATGATCCTCCCAACACTCTGGTTATGGGATTCCCCTGGACAGCTGTGGTATTCCAGACTGAGCTGGAGCTGGTACCTGGTCCAAGCTGGGCCCCTGGAACATCCCACCTTTCTGGCCATAGTTGGGCACCTGTTAGAAAACTGGACAATGGAGGATGGATGGCTAATTCTCACACACAACCCTGGGGAGAGCGCCATCATTATCGCCCAAAATATAGTGGGCCAGAACCATGCTAGGATCTCCCAGAATCAATGCATATTATGATATTAGCCAAATGCCAACAAAAATTGAATGCCATCAGTGAGTATATGAGAAATAAATGAAAACAACAACCAAATATGGTATGAAGCTATGGTGCACAGGAATCTATTGTATGGTTTGGATCATAAAACCTCAAAAGCAGACATGATAAAATTAGAAAAAAGTCAGGAAATCAAAGGCTAGAATGATAAAGACAATGGGGTTCAACCATTTCAAGCTTATAGATCCTCTTTTAAAACTAAAAACTCAAATGTAACTTCCAGTGTTCACAATATGAGAAAAATAATATCAAATGTTATTGTGAGTTCTTTAACAATTTGAATGAATTTTTATTTTATTATTCACAATATCATTTGTATTTATTTGAATAAGGTGGCTCAGATGGTAAAGTGTCTGCCTGCAATGCGGGAGACCCAGGTTCGATCCCTAGGTTGGGAAGATCCCCTGAAGAAGGAAATGGCAACCCACTCCAGTACTCTTGCCTAGAAAATTCCATGGATGGAGGAGCCTGATGGGCTACAGTCCATGGGGTGGCAAAGAGTCGGACACGACTGAGCAACTTCACTTTCACTTTTATATATGGGGTCATATTATTTATTCAGTTTACAAATATATTTTGGAGCCTATAGATGCATAGAACCCTTTAAAGAATCTGCTGTCTCCACCTCCATTAAGGGATAAAACTCAGGTTTGAAAGTTGGGAGCTGATGATACGATATGAAAGGCAGTTAAAATTTATGGAGCACTTAACATAATAAGCCAGGTGGCGTGTTAAGCACTGCAGAGACTTTATTATTTAATCCTCTCAACAATTCTAGCTAGGTATGACTATATCCCTTTCATACATGGAGAAATTGAGTCTCAGAAAGGTGAGAGTGTTTGTCCAAGCTTACATAATGAGTCCCATAATGTCCAGTGATGTGAGACGTGGAAAGTTTGTTATGTGAGATCAGGGCTTCCCAGGTGGTGCTAGTGGTAAAGAGCCTGCCTACCAATGCGGGAGACACAGAAGACGTGCGTTCGATCCCTGGGTTGGTAAGATCCCCTGGAGGAGGAATGAGTCCCATAATGTCCCGTGATGTGAGACATGGAAAGATTGCTACATAAAAACAGGCATAAAATGTATTAGTCAACTTGGGGGGAAAAAAGCACTAAGAATAGTTCTACTCCAGAGCCAAAACTGTGAGGGGTTAACACAAACATCTTTACCAAATTCTAAAATCCGAACCCTAGGAGGCTAAAAAAAGAGACTTCCTGGAGGTCAGGTTAAGTTAGAACACTGCGCTTCTGTTGCTGAAGACACTGGTTCAGTCCCTGGTGGGGGAACTAGGAACCCACATGCTGTGCAGCCAAAAAAAAGTCCTAAAAGGAGCAGTAATTTTTTAAATCAAAGAAATTATTAATTCGTGTATAGACAGCAAATCTATCCCTAGTAGGTAGCACCATTATTACAACTTTCTTCAAAGGGCAAAACATAAACACCTTCCCAAAGAATGTAGATAATTCAGTGATGAGAGGTTTACGATTACTGATTGATGGAAACAGGTTGCTTGAGGAGATTTCTCTGTCACTAAGAAATAGTACTACCAACTTTCTGAACTTTCAGTCACTCCATATTAGAAAGAATACAGAAGTCAGTACAAATCTGTACCAATTTGCAAATTATTAAAAAGCAGAGACATCACTTTGCTGACAAAGGTCCATATACTCAAAGCTAAGGTTTTCCAGTAGTCATGTATGGATGTGAGAATTAGACTATAAAGAAGGCTGAGTGCCAAAGAACTGACGCTTTCAAACTGGTGCTAGAGAAGACTTTTGAGAGTCACTTGGACAGCAAGGAGATCAAACCAGTCAATCCTAAAGGAAATCAATCTTGAATATTTCTTGGAAGAACTGATGCTGAAGCTAAAGCTCCAATAACTTTGTCTACTTGATGCGAAGAGCCAACTCACTGGAAAAGACCCTGATGCTGGGAAAGGTTGAAGGCAAAAGGAGAAAGGGGTAGCAGAGGATGAGATGATTAGATAGCATCAAACTCCAGGAGATAGTGGAGGACAGGGAAGCCTGGAGCGTTGCAGTCAGAGTCGGGCATGACTTAGCGACTGAACAACAAAACTTTTATGACATCAGAGCTATCTGGAATCTCAAGGTCATCTGATACAGGATTTTCCAAAGGGGAGTTATCAAAGTCCTAGAGATTCATAAAGGTTCTCCATGATATTGGAGAACTATGCTGCTGCTGCTAAGTCGCTTCACTTGTGTCCGACTCTGTGCGACCCCATAGACAGCAGCCCACCAGGTTCCTCTGTCCCTGGGATTCTCCAAGCAAGAATACTGGAGTGCGTTGCCATTTCCTTCCCCAACTGGAGAACTATACATGAAACTAAAATAGATAACATTACCAATTTCTAAAAACTAATAATTATTCTAATATTCTACCTTTAAAGCATATGTTCTAAGGACATTCTATGCTATACATGTAGGGATAGTGGAAATAAGTTGAGTGAACTCAGCACTCACTTGATTGAAGCCCATATCAATGTGTGGCTTTGATTATCACACATTTTAAGACTGATTTTTATTATCAGTCACATATATTGATATGTTGCTTAATTTATACCCATAATAGGCTAGTGGTTAATAATGGGAAGCTTAGGGAACATAGATTGTGTTTGATGGACACAGTCATTTTACAAATATGCCTAAGGTGCTCTTTGCTAGATATGAAAGTTAGAGTCAACCTCACCCTCACTGATCAAATTATAAAATTATATAAAATGCACCAATATGCTTCTAGGGCACCAAAAAAAAAAGCAATTTATAATCCAATTTGGGGCTTCCCTGGTGGCTCAGTGGTAAAGAATCTCTCTGCCAACACAGGAGATGAGGGTTCAATCCCTTGGTCGAGAAGATCCCCTGGAGAAGGAAATGACAACCCACTTCAGGATTCTTGCCTGGGAAATCCCATGGACAGAGGAACCTGGCAGGCTACAGTCCCTGGCGTTGCAAAGAGTCAGACAAGACTTGGTAACTAAACAACAACAACAATCCAATTTGGCCTTTTGTGTAAGAGAGAAAAGCCTATTTCTTTCAGCAGCATATTATTTGCAGACAAATTCTGCAAAGAGCAGTCTGAAACTTTTTCATCACGTGGAGCAAAAATTATAAAAATAAATTAGTACATCCTGGTAGCTTAACTGGTAAAGAATCCGCCTGCAATGCAGGAGACCCTGGTTCAATTCCTGGGTCAGAAGATCCGCTGGAGAAGGGATTGAGAGTCCACTCCAGTATTCTTGGGCTTCCCTGGTGGCTGAGATGGTAAAGAATCTGCCCACAATGCGGGAGACCTGGGTTCAATCCCTGAGTTGGGAAGATCCCCCGGAGAAGGGAATGGCTACCCACTCCAGTATTCTGGCCTGGAGAATCCAATGGACAGAGGAGCCTG